CCACCACCACCACCACGGCCACGGCCCCCACGGTCCTGCTGGCCTCCTCCGTAGCCGCCGCCGCCACCACCCTGGTCCTGATTGCCGTAACCGCCACTACCGCCACCACTCATGGGGGACTGATCTTGGCCATAGTTACCTGTCAGAAAATAAAGAATGTGAAGTAGCACAAAGAATTAACAGTGCAAGAGGATCAATGACGGGAAACAAACCGAAACTAGCTAGATAACTAGAAAGCAAGACTTTTAGGAACCCTTTTACAGACACAGCAACAGAAAAGAAAAACTCTTAAGAGAAAACAGGTAAACAGAACACAGGCAAAAGCTGAGGAGCCCTGCTCACCTCCACCTCCTCCACCACCCCCACCGCTACTGTTGTACTGGTTCTGCTGTCCGTAGCCCTGAGGGGGATTATAGGAGCTTTGCTGCTGTCCGTAGCTTTGCTGCTGTCCACCATAACCAGACTGTTGGCCATAGCCTCCACTTGGGGGCTGCCCATAGTTGCTGCTCTGAGAACTGCTTCCATAGCTAAGAGTAAAGAAAACAGCATCACATCAGAATGCCCAAAGCTTCCTTTCATTTTCAGTATAGCCTAGTCTCTGTACCCAACACAAACACCCCCAAATCCCTCATAAATGCTCCCACTGCTGGTCACATTATCACTCCTATCAATTTATCCCCAATCTTCCAAGCCTTGCCCCTTACACCACCTTACCTTCCCGAAGTGCTGCTAGGAGCTGGCTGCTGGCCATAGCCAGGGTAGGAAGACTGCTGCCCGTAAGATGACTGGGAACTCTGGCTACCACCATAGCTACTAGTTGAGCCATATCCCTGGGGAGCTGACTGGGTACCATAACCTGCTTTGATAAAAGGAAGAACAAAAGCTATCATGAAAAAGAAAAGAAAGGAAATGGACTGAAGGAAACATTATCTACTACCTGTCACGGATTGTCCCCCAAAGTCTGTGTTATAACCTAATCCCTAAACCTACGGTTATAATCTCATGTGTGAAAGGCCTTCCTCCTGTTTTGTTAATAAGGCAGGATTAGTACAGCATGTGTCTCAAATCAATCCCTTTTGGGATATAAAGAGCAGACTGAGCAAGCACCCAGGCAATCAAGTAGGGATGGGGAAGATGAACGCCACATGATGGCAAAGAAATTCAGGAATATAAGCTGCAAAGAAACAAGACCTTCCCCCAGAGCAGACACAGGAAAGACAGCCTTCCCAAGGGCCATGTCCTGTACTGGCACGTCTAGCCTCCCCTCTGTGAGAAAATAAATCTGTTAAAGCCACCCACTCATGGCCCTGCTGTTCCAGCAGCACTGTGGAACTTAGCTACTGCCTAACGCTCTCCCAGACTTGAAGTCAGCCTTTTAGAAGCTGCTGGTGAGTCTTTCAACTCAGTTAAACTGACCCTTCCTATTCCACCTGAAGGTTAATGTTCCAACTTACTAGTAGCTTCTCTCCCCATTTCACCTCAGTCATCCCAAAGCCAGGCTTCAGGGATTCAAACCAAAATAACCCTATTTATTAATGGCAGTTTAATAGACTGGTATGTGTGCAGGACAGACCTAAAATAACCCACATTACCATTTACCCCTCTGGGCCTCAGGGCAAACTCAATATCCTATTGTATTACGTGTTGTACAGCAGCCTAACTGAAAACCTTTAAAAGTAAACCATAATTAAGCCTAAAAAATGTTTCTCCTTTTAGGGAATACTCTCCCCACATTTCATTTTCATAATGAAAGGAAAAATGGGAAAAGGTCCAGCATAAATAGGTAAAAAGTCCCATAAAAATAAAAGAAAATAACTACAAACAAACAAGTATTTTTCTTTGAAAACAAAGGACTCCGACTCAAGAGAAATTTCACATGCTATAGACTGGCTACAGATTAAGAAACTTAAGATACAACATTTCAACACCGTTCAAGAAAAGCAATATTCAAAAAGAGCAGGAAGAGGTGAAGTGGTCCAGTAAGAGACTCACTGCTCTGGGTCTGTCCGTAAGAAGAACTGTAGCTGCTCTGGCCATAGCCTGAAGTATCTGCTGACTGGCCGTAACTGCTGTAACTCTGCTGTCCATAGGGCTGACTGCCCTGCTGGGAGTAACCCTGCCCGGGTTGGGTGGGATAGGCCCCGTAGCTGGACAGAAAGAAAAAAAAAAATTAAAAAATTAGGAAGACACTGGCCATGTTGCCCTCTACAAAGTCTGGAAGCCCAAGAAGTAACACTCACCTTTGGGTTGCTTGTTGGGTATAGTCTGCAAAAGAGAAATACAAACTACATTACCTTCAGGCAATCCTAAGAAAACGGGGGCCTCCCCAAAACCCAACAAACAAGACTTACAAGGGCACCTAATTCCCCTGAGACACTAGTTGAGAGGACCAGCAAGCTGGCCAATATCAGGTTTCCTTACAGTAAAGAATGCTAGCCATACACCGAAAATGCAAACTTCTGCTACAATTTTCTGCACAAGAATGCCTCTAAAACATATTCCACACATTTCATTTGCACGGCCACTCTGCAAGGCAGGTACTAGCCCAGAATCAAGATAAGAGGAACTTGTCCTTTATCAGTCAGGTCTGAATTCAAACCCGATAGCCATGTTCAGAACGTGGCATCCATCCTCTCAACCCAACATTTCTGTCTCAGAAATCCAGTGCCTAAAGCATGTGACTGCTAACCAGAAGGCTGGCGGTTCAAACCCACCAGCCTCTCCTGGAAAGAAGGTTGGGCAATCTACTTCCGTAGTGATACCGCTTGGGAAAACCAAGGAGAAATCACTGAGTCGAAATCGACTCGAAGGCAGTGAGTTTGGTTTGGTTTTCTCAACTTTTAAAATCATCAAAAGTGGGCATTTAGCGCAAAGCCAGGCAACCAAAAGAAACCCCTTTCACTCCAAATAGAACAGTGATCACTGTCAATGAGCGCGCCTCAGGAAACAACCAGTTCAAGTTCACAGCGTTGCGAACTGAATGTATGTTTCCTCAACTACCCTGCCTTCTTTGTAGCCGTGGGGCGACTCGGCCAACCAAAGATAGGGAAAGTGCTTTATTAACACCAGATTTAAATACGTCAGAGCAAGATCAACTCATCCCTTCAGTACAGGAAATGAGGCACTTCCCCCAAGGGAGAGGCCAAAGGAGAGAGGGTGTGGCCTCGAGCAGCCTGATGGTTCCCAACTCGCAAAGAGATTTAGGCGGGAAAACTCTCGAGTTCGGTCTCCAAGTGGTCTACCTCCCTGTTGGCCCCCAGACCATTAAGCCGGAGATCGGCCCTGATCCTGAGCCTCTGCCTCCTGCTGCGTGGCAACCGTGGCGGGAACGGAGCCATCCCGCTCCTTCCCAAGGACCCCAGGGATGTGACCCACAAGGGACACACCGGACGCACGCTGCAGGCGCTCCAGTGGAGGGCCTCGCGACAAAAAGCGGGACCAGCACGAGGCGGCAGGAGGGTGCGCGCCGCGAAAGGGAGGGGCCAGCAGAGCGCGTGCGCGCACAGAATGCCCGGATGCAGCACTGCGACAAAGCGGGCTAGAGCGCTGGGCTGGGGTAGAAGGAAAAAAGGGCTAAGTGGATTGGCCATTTCCACCCTTACCTCACGCTTCAAGTCACCAGAAAATGTTCCTCACCCCCGACACACACACACACACCCACCCACCTCCAGTAAAGTCAAGACCCACCAGCCCCGCGCTCGCGAGGCTTCAAAGGAGCGAAACAAAATGGCGACAACGGGCTCTCTCTCCCACCCATCTCCACTGCTTCTCGCTACAAGCGGAGACGGTTCTACACGCAATCGCTGCCCAAGTCCCACCGAAAAACAAATGCCCAGGTGGGAGGAAACTAGGCCATGGACTGGCGGGCAACCGCCGTCTCGCGCCCTTACATACCGTTTGAGGCCATGTCCGCGCACGCGCGCACAAGCCGACAGCAACAAGACTCCACCACCACAGAGCACCGACGCCGCGAGGACTGAGCAACCCCGCCTTCTGCGCTGAAGCTTTTGTACCCCTCCCAGGAGAATGTACCAAATGCGGAAAAAGAAAGGGCGAAGCGAGGCTAGACTCGTACCACGCTCCAAGGAGTGTAGACGGTCCGAACCGCAGGGAGAAAGCATATTAACCCATAATTACCTTATCATAATAATATATATAAACATACTTTCCTATAACGAACTCTAGTTCTTTCTGCAGAGCTAGCCCATGATTCAACGACCCCTTGATGGCATAATGGTACGATCTGATGACCTTCTGGGGGCGGGGCGAACGGCCCACAGCGTCTGCGGACGCAGCTGTAGTCCGGACGGCAGCCGTTGGGCGGGAACCGAAATTCTTCTCCCTGGCCCCTTTCACTGGGCCCCACTTTCACTCAGTACAGAGCTTTGCCCTCCGTTGCCCTTCTGCTTTACCAGACGCCCAGTGCCGCCTGCCGCCAACTTCCCTTGCACATTATCTCACCCCCGCTCGCTCTAACATTCCTTCCCCGACCATCATCAACTCTCTCCCTGCGTCTTGGTTTTCACTTAATTTTTCATGGCTGCCTTTTCTAAGTCCCTACAAGGGTTTGTGGATTGTTACGTTTATCTCAAAAGTGTGGATTTTAGGCCGCATGTTTCTCACTCAAACTTTCACGGCTTTGCCCCTGACTAGCAGCCGAATGAAGTCCAGACCTCCCTGGACCTCAGAGAGCTTTGGGACTAGATTAGGAGGTGCCTCGCCTTTCACTGATAAGGAGATGACTTTTATTTTCCTGAAGCCTTACCAAGGAAGCACTTTAGAGAGCCCAGTAATAACTGACATTTATTATAAGGCTTGCGGAAGGAAGCCAGGGCAATCTACTTCTGTAAAGATGTACTGCCTCGGAAACCCAGTGGGGATCGCTGTGAGTCAGAATCGACTCCATGGCAGTAAGTTGGGTTTTTTTTAAGGTCGGGGTGTGATTAAAACCCAAGTCTGTGCGACTACAAAACACTCCGTTTGTTGGTTACATGAACACTTTGAAATGTTCAGAAGCTTGTTCGCTTCCTGTGAGAGCGGGGACAAGAAATGAAATTCAAATTAACTCACAACTGCACTCTATAATCAGCCTGGCGACTTTCCTTCTCAGAAGTTCCTTTGTAGGTTGGACCCACTTTCCTAGAGAAAACAGTGACTACAATCCAAGCCTGCCCATAAACTTCCATAAACCCCTGATTTGGGCTCTAATGGCCTTGAACATACACGCACATACAGTGGAAGAGTAATGAGACTCTGGAGTGAGGGCAAAGGGAAGCCCATCTCTCGGTCATTCATTCAACAAATATTTACTAAACACTGTGTTGCAGACAAGGAGCCCTGGTGGACGCTGTTCTAGATGCTGGAGATGCATAAGTGTACAAAACACATGAAACTAACATTTAATAATAATGTATTTACATCTATTGTTTATATATTATATCTATGTATAAGGAGCTCTGGTGGTATAGTTTGTTGTTGTTGTTGTTATGCGCCGTCAAGTCGGGCCCCAACTCATAGCGACCCCTCCTTGCGTTTCCGAGGCAGTATCACTACGGAAGTAAATTGCCCAGCCTTCCTTCCGAGGAGTGGCTGGTGGGTTTGAACCGACAGCCTTCAGGGAGGAAGATGAAATAATCTACTTTGGTAAAGATTTACAGCCTTGGAAACTCAGTGGGGTTCACTATGAGTCAGAATCAACTTGAAGGCAGTGGCTTTGGTGCGTGTATTTTTCTTTTGTTTGTTTTGTTTTGTTTTTTAAATACTCTGGTAGCCTAGCGCCTAAGGCATTTGCCTGCTAACCTACCAGAAGGCTGGTGGTTCAAACCCACCAGCCACTCCTCAGAAAGAAGGTTGGGCAATCTACATCCATAGAGATACTGCCTCGGAAACCCAAGGAGGGGTCGCTATGAGTCAGATCCAACTCCATGGCAGTGAGTTTTTGTAATACTTTGATAAGGCTTATTAAGTGCCGGGCACTGTTTTGGGTGCTTTGAGTATAACTTGTTTAATCTTATTCACAATAAATCTATGAGATTGGTGTGAGGATTACATTTTACAGTTGAGGAAATAAGGACAGGAAGATCAAAAGCTATTCTCAGAACCAGAAGAACTAGATGGTACCCGGTGACCACTGTCAATCACTTAGAGGGGGAGCTATGTAGGAGATCCTGGATAGAGTGGGAGAACAATGTGGAACAAAACTCAAAAAAAGGGACCAGGTTTGCTGATCTGATAGAGTCTGGTGGAACCACCAAGACTATGGCCCCTAGCTGCTCTTCAGGTCTTGAATTGAACCCACACCTGTGGCTTCCAGCCAAAGAAAAGACAGGCATATGAGGTGAACATTTACATTAGGTAGATACAATCCTTGGAGAGAACAAACATGGGAGAATAGAAGAGCTGTATATGCACAGGGAGACAGCTCAGGGGGTAGGAGTGCATGGGGAGGGCAGGATACAGGAAAGAGGTAACTAAAGGGAGGAAGTGGAAGGGGAGCTGTTGCATTGTGGGAAAATTTCTTGAAAAATGGAGGCTCTGGCCACCCAGGACTTGCTTTCTCATGGGACAAAGTGCAACTGGAAAAAGAAGCTACCACGTTTAGCTAGGGTAAGTATTTGCCACTCACCTGTTTCCCTTATTCCCTAATGCTTTGACACAGAACAAAAAAAAAACACTGCCATCAAGTTGATTCCAACTCATAGTGACCCTATAGGACAGAGTAGAACTGCCTCATAGGGTTTCCAAAGCTATAAACCTTTATGGAAGCACATTGCCCCGTCTTTCTCCCTTGGAGTTGCTGGGGGAATCAAACCATCAACCTTTCATGTAGCAGCCAAATGCTTTAACCACTATGCCATCAGAGCTCTTTTTCAACACAGAAAACCAAAAAACCAAACCTACTGCTATCGAGTCGGATCCAACTCACAGCGACCCCTCCTTGGGTTTCCAAGACAATGTCACTAGGGAAGTAGACCACCCAATCTTCCTTCCAAGGGGTGGCTGATAGGTTTCAAACACCAGCCTTCTGGTTAGCAGTCAGATGCTTTAAGCACTATGCTGCCAGAAGCCAGAGCTAATTGCTGTGTTTCAGATGTTGAAACACTTTTTCTTAGAGTTAAAAAACAAAAGAAACAAACTCACTGCCATCAAGTCAATTCCAACTCATAGTGACCCCCTTTGAGTTTCCAAGGTGGTAAATATCTGTAGAAGCAGACTGTCTCATCTTTCTTCCATGGAGCAGCTGGTGGGTTCAAACCACAGACCTTTTGGTCAGCAGCTGAATGCCTTAACTACTACACCACCAGAGCTCCTTAGAGTTAAAAGGAAGGTAATGCATTTCTTCCCTTCAAAAGTAGGAAAACCAAAGAAGACCCTGATTTTCAGACCTCCAGCTGGCCCTTGGAGGCAGTTGGGTTTGTAAACTCTTTCTAGATAAAGAGTTTTTAACTTTTTTTTTTTGTGCCAATTCCTTTGGGAATCTAGTGAAGCCTCCAGATCTCAGAATAATATTTTTAAACGCATAAAGCAAACATCGTAAGAACACAAAGAAAACCAAATGAGTAGAAACACAGTTATCAAAAAAAAATTAAAACATCTTTTTGATATACTAATGCATCTGAAGAACAGATCGACACATTGAACAGCAGTGACCAAAGGCTAGGTGAGTTGTGGGATGACATCAAGAACATCATATGTGAAGAAAGCAATAGGTCATTTAAAAGACAGGAAAAGAAGAGAAGATCAAAATGGATGTCAGAAGACATTCTGAAACTTGCTCTTGAACGGAGAGTAGCTAAAGCAAATGGAAGAAAATGGAGTAAAATAGCTGAACAGAAAATTTCAAAGGCTGGCTCAAGAGGACAAATGAAAAAACAAAACTCACTGCCGTCAAGTCAACTCCAACTCATAGCAAGCCCTCCTTGGGTTTCCAAGGCAGTATCTCTATGGAAGTAGATTGCCCAATCTTCTTTCCAAGGAGTGGCTGGTGGGTTTGAACCTCCAGCCTTCTGGTTAGCAGTCTTAGGCACTATGCCACCAGAGCTCCCCAAGAGGACAAAGTAAAGTATTATAATGAAATGTGGCAAGACCTGGATTTGGAAAATCAAAGGGGAAGAACATGCTCAGTAGTTCTCAACCTGAAAGAACTGAAGAAAAATTCAAGCCTCAAGTTGCGATATTGAAGGATTCTATGGGCAAAATATTGAACGATGCAAGAAGCATCAAAAGAAGATAGAAGGAATACACAGAGTCACTGTACCAAAAAAGAAATTGTTGATGGTCACCCACTTCAGGAGGTAATATATAATCAAGAACCAATGATTTTTTTTTTTATTTTTTTTTTTGTGTGTGTGTGTGATTTGGTTGAAAATTTACAGAGCAATTTCATTTTCCATACAGCAGTTTATACACATTTTGTCTCACAATGTTGACTGCAATTTACCACAATGCAACAGCTCCCCTTCCACTTCCTCCCTATAGTTACCTCTTCCCTGTGTCCTTCCCTCCCATGCACTCCTGCCCCCCAAGCAGTCTCCCGGTGCATACACTGCCCTTCTGTTCTCCCATGATTGATCTCTCCAAGGACTGTATCTCAAACAAAAAAAACCCTCACTGCCATCGAGTAGGATCTGACCCATAGTGACCCCTCCTTGGGTTTCTGAGGTGGTATCGCTACAGAAGTGGATTGCCCAACCTTCCTTCTGAGGAGTGGCTGGTGGGTTTGAATTGCCAGACTTCTAGTTAGCAGTCAAATGGTTTAGGCACTAGGCCACCAGAGCTCCCGGGAGTGTATCTGCCTGATGTAAACGTTCAGCCCATATGTCAGTCTTCTTTTGGCTGGAGGCCATAGGACGGAGTTCAGTTCCAGACCTGAAGGGCAGCTAGGGGCATAGTCTCAGGGGTCTCACC